TCAGAAGGGATGGATTCAGGTTGTAGTGGGGTTTTGGCTATGGGAGTCTCTGCAACCACCACAGCCAGAAGAACACAATCCATGGGAGGGAAGAAGGTAGCCTGACTCTGAGTAGTTTATGTAAGCACAGAAAATTCGTTGAAAAATTCCTGTCCATAAACTATATCCTGTAGGCACAAGAAAACTTAAGACATGACTACACCAGAATTCTGTATAAGGTACACGTGACATCTTCCATAAAGATGGATTCTATAGATTGACAGCTCATGATGAAGATCTGGTAGAGGATCCAGTGTAGTCTTTGATACTAAAATAGCTCAAAGGTCACCAGGCTCTTAGCCCTATTCATTCCCAGACCCCTGTAAGGGAAAGAGTTAATACATCACTCTCTTTGATAAGACAATTTTATATGTTTAGCATTCCTAGTTCCCCTAGTGCTTGTCTGTGACCACAAGGATCTCTGTGTCTCCCACAGTTGAGGGGAGAACCTGGACTTGTGTGTAAGATGTGCATCCTGGCCTGAGGTAGAGGTTGATGACAGTGTAAGTGGAGCTCAGCAGGACAATGGGTGTGGAGCCCAGGCTGGATCAGAGGAAGGGGAGGGTGTGCAGAGAGTGGGATTAGTCAGGCCCACCAGGCTAGACCTCAACACAAGATATTCAGGACAGGACTGGCTCTAGAGATTTGAGGTTGCAAAGAAAAGATGAAATCATCAGATTCCAGTGGGGAAAGCCAGAATTTATTTATCATTTATTTATTCATTTGAGACAGGCATCACTATTCTGTAGCTCTAGCTGTCCTGGAAGTTACTATGTAGACCAGGCTGGCCTTGAACTCACAGAGATGCATGTAGCTCTGCTTCCCAAGTGCTGGGATTAAAGGCATGTGCTACCATACCCGGATAAAGACAGAAATTTTTCAAAGATATTTTCTGTAATTGTTATTTTGCTTGAATGTATATTTTCTGCTCTGTTTTTACGAATAAAATATTTTTTAAATTTTTACTTGTCGCGGTGTTTTGACTACATATATGTATGTATATCATGGGTGAACAGTGACCACAGAGGTCTGAAGATGACATCAGGTTCTATGGAGCTGGAGTAACACTTGGTTGTGAGATGTCATGGAGATGCTGGGCACCTAACCTGGGCCTCTCCAAGAAAAACCAGTGCTTGTCACTTGTGAGCCTGCCCTCCAGATTCACCCTCACTATTTTAAATATTTAGTTTTATTTTCTCTGGTAGTTTTTCTTTCTTTAAAATATCTTTACACTAGTTATCCAATTCCTTGTCCTGTAATTGCACTCTTTTTTTAGACCTTCAATTTTTTCTTTATTTTTTATTCTATTTTTTCATTTTTATTTCTTTGTCTTATAATTAATGTTACCTTTAAATTTTGTGACTCATTCTACAACAATGTTAGTCACTTCTTTTCTATTGACAGTGTTCTTTTTACTTAGGTTTTCCTCATTTGTACAACCTTTGCTCGTATTTGAAGTGATTATTATTTGCCTTCTTGAAATGTGATCCTGCAATCCCAGGTCAACAATTTGAACACATGCCATACATATATCCATTGTTTATGTTCATTTTCTCAAACACCAGGATGAACAATTGCTGTTTATTATTTCAAAACCCCAGAGACTGGTGTCTGTGGGCTCTCTCAATGCAGCTTTCCTAGAACTTGAAAATCTTCCTAGCCTCTTCGATTTGTTTGGCATCAAGGGGAGGCTTTCTCTGGCTGCCAGGCTGTAGGAACTTCTTCACATTGGGCAGGCTGCTGAGTCTGCTCTTCAGGGCCTGTAATCCAGAAAACACAGCCTGAGAGTCAGAATGGCTTATGTGGACAATCCAAAAAACTCTGAGCCCCTCCCAGAACGTGACCAACTGCATCCTTACAACAGCTCCAGTGTAGACATGAGAAAAATGATAAAACCATTAGCTGAATCCACAGTTCACAATAACCCAACTAAAGACCTCCTTTGACATCCACTTACCTCCTCCTCTGGTCCCTGACACACCCTATGGTCTGGTTTTGTGGTGCAGAGCACAGAGCACTGTGTCTCTCAGGCGTGAAAACAGAGACTACCAAAGACAACTGAAGACATGAAAAACTGAGTTGGAAATGGACACAGAAAATCTCAGTCTAACTAGGAGCAAGTAACAGCCAGTTTTCACCCCTGGAGATAAGGTTGGGATAACTGGGGGATGGAAGATGTCATGGTGTGTGTTGTAGAGAGGGAAGCACAGTGTTGAGTAGTCAGAGCTGAGGAAGGCGATCAGCATGACAGAGACCTGCTGAGACACTGAGTGTGCAAAGACAGGACACTTGAGATGAAGATGAAGGCCAGAAGCATCCTGCAAAAAACAGGGGTCCAGGGAAACTCTTGCATCTTTCTCATGACAAAAGGCAAAATATTCTTCTTGGGGTACCAGCCTTCAGTCTCCATACACAAAAGATAATTTTCTTGCCTGAAACCAGGGTCTAGTAACTCAGTTTGGAGGCCAAGGATGGGGCCTCAGTAGCCCCCAGGCCACCATTATATTCTCATAGGCATGTGTGTGCGGCTGCCTCTCTGAGGTGATCTCACCTTCAGCAGGGGGAAAGGGGCCAGAAGGCTGGAGTCAAGCTCTTCAATATAGAGGAGAAGTTCCAGCAGGTGAATGTCCACCCTGGTCAGCCTGTTGCCAACAAGGTAGTCTTGTCCATGGCTCTTCAACACCTGCAGAATTAAAGGAGACAGGTTATGAACATAGAGTTGGGCAGGGACCACTGACTTTTCCCAAGTCCCCCATGGGATGCTCTGCCTTTGCCTGGCAGGGATAGAGGTGCAGACACTTCTCTAGGCCTGTGATGTAAGAGGGAGAGGGAGAAGTCAGGCAGGCAACCTCCTCTTTAAAGTTCAGGTCACCTTTCTCTCTCATTGCCAGTTCCTATGGCCTTCACACCACCCACCCTTCTGTACATTTTCCACCTGTGGTAAGGATTAGCCCTGGCACATCTTGTTTCTTCCTTTTATTTTAAGCTGACAGGACACTGGAATGTCAGGACTTTCCTCTCCCTGTCCTCTGTTCAATCTCTCTTGGGCAGAGACTCCACCTGCAGGGAGCATCAGTCACAGAGAACATCCCTTGTCTGCATTCTCCTGTCTGCTCTCCTTGGGTCTCTGGAATCTGAAGTACACCTGACTGAACTACAGCACATCCTCCCCTTTACAGCATTGGCTCTGACTCCCATCCTTCACTGGACTCCCATCCTTCACTGTGCCATGATTGATATGCTGAATTGCACAGGGTGAACTGAGTTGGAGTCTGTAAGTAACATTGTACTGATAACACATGAATGTTGACAGATGAGCATGCCAACACCATGCGGTGCTAATCTTGCTATCTGATTGGCAGCTATGTATTTATTTATCATTGATGTCAACATTTCTGGTTGTGTGAAGACTGGATAATAATACTATCTTAGTTACATTCATATGGCATTTACTTAAATATCCCAGCAATATGAAAATCACAGATAACTGCAAGGAAAATCACTTCTTAAATCATGATCTACAAGTAAAGAACTATAAACGGTTTTGTGGTCAACTTATCACTCTGTACATGTCTACAGAGAAAAATATAATTAGCACATCCAAAAACAAAAGGAAGCCAGGCACAGTGGCACACACATATAAACCCAGCACTCAAGAGGCTGAGGCAGGTGGATCTTTGTGAGCTCAAGGCCAGTCCACATAGAGAGTTCCCGAAGAGCCAGAGCTGCATAATAGAGAGATCCTGTTTTGTTTTGTTTTGTTTTGTTTTAAAAAGGAAAAATGAAGAAAAACTTAAAATACAAAAGGCAGCATCAAATGTTCTCAGGAACATCAAATGTGCTCATTGTGTGCATGGAGGTTATGAATCTCGTACGCCATGTGCTGTAAGCTGTGATGGCTGGACATTATATTCTAGGAGACAGTGCCTTGACTCTAGAGGGCTGTGTGAGGACCTGATGGTCCTAAAACTCTCCCACAGAGCAGAGACATCAGTTACTGAACTTTCAGTGAAAGGATGAAAATTAAGGTGATGCTTTGTAACATGGGGGTCACAGTCAAGTCTCTCCTGAATGTGCAGGATGCCCATATCCTCTAGGATCATAGCTCTGTTCTTACCTTTTACTTGACAGAAAATCAAGCATTATGAAGTGTTCTTGATCTTCCTCCAAAGAGAAGCCCTGACTAAGGGAGGCACTCCATGTCACTGACACACCTTCATTTGCTGAGTGTGCATGGCTCTTCCTCCAAGCCTGGCACTGAGACCCCAATTCTGGCAGGTCAATTTTCCTTAAATCACTTCATCAGCCTTCTCCTTTCAACCCTCCATCCCTGTCCTTGTTCAGGCACTTCCCCTCTGTCTTTGAAGTACTATCATATTCTCCTGACAGCCAGTCACTCTCTGCCTCCCTGTGTGATGTGACAGAATATTTTTCCATCTGTGTGTTTCTTGAGTTTGCTCTGACATTGAAGCCTGTTGTGTTCTGCAGGATCTGGGTCCATCCTGGTGTGGCTCAGCTTTTCCAGATCAAGTTCTGGTTGTGGCCATGAACCCTGTTGCATACTGCCCCCTAGACTGGCATGACCATGCAGGGCTCCTTCACAGGCCGTTTTCCACAGTGCCCTGTGGGGCAGGGGGCTGCACAGAGAGGCTCATGGAAGGTCAGCACTGCAGCAACCTTTCTCTCCCAGACTCTACCTTTCTCCTGTCCTTGGAACTCAGTGTCCCCTGACTTCAAAGAGCCCACTTACTTTTTCAAAGGCAGGCAAGTACCGGTTTTTGGTCCTGTCTTTTATCATGGAAATCTTGG